TTTTTTTTTTGTTCTCTTTTTCAGAATGTCTTTCCTTAATTACTTGTTATCTCTGGATATTATTACGAGCGTAATACTCACACGTTTTCTGCAACCCGTGAGTGGTCCAGCGGTCAGTGCTCTGGACTCTGGGTCGTCTTCTCGGATAAGACGTAAAGCCGTAGGTCCCGTCTCTTGCAGGGTTAGGTATAGGAGGCGTTAATTTCCCACGCACGAGATTACTGTGTGATGAATGTCCTCCCCTGGGGTGGGATGGGCGGGAAGGTGAGACCGTTACATGGGCTGAAGCGGCTGCCAGAGGCGCCTGATAAAATACTGACGTCCGATCTCAACCGTAACAACAACATGTAATGCGCTATTGATCAGCACATGTAAATATGCGCTATATAAATTGCTAAATTATATTATATATATATAAATTATAACCCACAACTTTATTTATAACTTTTTGAGAGGTAACAATAGTGGCTTCACGCAGCTCCATTCCCACGAAATATATTCCACACAAACTAGAACATAACTTTTATATGGTTACGTCGCATTCCATTTATAAATCTGTCACGATTCACCCTTTACCTCCTTACATCAGTATGCACTGATTCTCTTTACTGTTTTTTATTCATTTCGAAAAAAGTTGCTAAGAAGAACTGATTTGTTTAACAATCATTGAGCTTCTCCAATTGATGATCATTTCCTTATATCTCGTTTACTCGTTTAATTCAGGGATGATATCGTAGGGAGAGTTCTGAAAAACCAATGACGGGGACATTTTTCTGAAGGCACAACAAAGCAGTACTGAAAGGGGAGCATCCCCCAAGCGGTATCAGAAACACAGACGAACATTCAAACGTTTACCGTTAATCGAGCAAAAAAATATTCAGCAGGATGCTATCACGATGATAAAATAGCTCTTACTCTCTCATCTGAGATAATACTTGAAATATGTAATACATGAGATATATACATGTCATGCATGAATTTACTTTACCAGTGTCTTAAGTGATAAGTATACCTACATAAGCCGCTTTTTTGTGATGACTAAAAAGAAACGTAACTGCGAGGATCTCTTGCTACTTCAAAAACTCCAGCAATAGACCTTGTTCGATCTCCATGCCCAATCGAGTATTACCTATAGACCACTTTCATAAATGGCTGCCGGATTAATATTTTTTGGTTTAAATTTAAATTAGGCCTACTGGCCTCGTTCTCCAGTACACAATTCAAAAGAATACATTATCTCAAGCGAGGCCAGTAAGGCTAATTTAAATTTAAACAAAAGAATATTTATACGGCAGCCATTTATGAAAGTGGTCTATTCCACTGTCCATTTAAAATCATATCCTCAATCTCCCAAGAAAGATACAATGAAAAAAATCGTTGCAAAAAAAACTTTATGTTGCTCATGCTCCATAATCCGAGATGACCGCTTATTTAATGACCGCTTATTTTTGACGACCGGGATGGTCGTAAGACGGATGCTTTTAAGGTCATATCACTAAGCGTTACAAGAAAAACTTTATGTTGCTCGTGCTCCATAAACCGAGATGACCGCTTATTTAATGAACGCTTATTTTTGACGACCGGGATGGTCGTAAGACGAATGCTTTTAAGGTCATATCACTAAACGCATTCAGGATTATCGTAGGCGACAGGGTCGGATGAGCTGGTCAAGAGAGGTGCTCGCTCTCTTGTTTCCTCTCTTGCTACGCGATTCCTGTTATCTGGATCTGCTTCTATGATTATGAAATAGAGAAACACGTGGATGAGGAATCCAAGGTACAGTGGCGGACCTGCCTCAATCAGAGTTCTCAGGCTGTCATTCTCGATTGTACTCCTAAGAAGGAAATACGTTCACCTAGAATTAAACTTATCAATTAACATCGTTGATAACCAAACACTGTGTTGTACGCCTTAAGCATGCACCCCAATTCCCAGCCTGGTAAATTACTCTCGTGTTTGGTAACAGAATGCAATACGGTTTTTTTTTCGTGTTGTGCNGCCAGACATTCTCAACCATGGCCGGACTATTAAGGCTTCGAGGTCAAACATTCGTGTTGCACTAATATCAATTCAAGATAAATTCACACCTGCTCAAACAATGTCATGTGTTGGAAATTTCCTTCGGATCCCTCTACGTTTCAGTAATTACAACTTCCTCGAAATGATGCACTTCTAAATCTGGGAAAACTGTCCAATTGATCAATTGTATTTCAGAAAATATGAGTTATTTACCTCTTCATTTATCTGTAAATTATAAGAGATGATAGAGGAACTTTTACTATCATAGAACAAAGAAATCAATTCAAATAAGGAAAAAATTCAATATATTTCAAGGAACTACAGAGTATAAGGGGTTATTATCAGTTGCCGTGTCTATTGTGTTATTTGCGCATAGCTTTACTTTTGAAGGGCCCCGCGTTGGTGCACTTTCAATTGAGAAATTCGGCTGCGTGTGACTGTTGGAAATATATCGGGTTATCTAGAATATTAATTTTTTTGTGTTAACTATCCGTTTTTTTAATGAGACAGTTCTGTTGAGCGCAAAGTTCGCGCAGAAGATAAGGCTTTTTGGACTTACGTGTTTAGCGAAGTTCAGTCACCGGCTCTCAAATTGTGTTATTGTAGTGTACTTGGAAGTCTGAGAATTAAATACTGAGGAAGCCTTTACATCAGTCCCCATCGCTCAAAACCCGCTACATTGCCTGAGACAACACTGAAACCCAAAGATTGGTAGATTGTATTTACTTGACAATCAACAAATCGGATATATGCATTCACCAAAATATCAAGTTCTCGTAAAAAGAAATGGGGTCACTGAATAAAGTACCAAAACGTTTTGTAATCAAAACAAAATTCTGTAACCTTCTCTATTAAAGTCTTAGTTATTTCTACGCTGCGCATACATTAGTCATTCTCGTTGCTCTATTCATATCAGTGATACGCTAAATCAAAATCATCACCGCCATTGCATAAATCGTAAAAAACGGATTTTCAGAACTCATTTGGAAAGCAGGTATGTTATTTTCTTTACCTCTATTTAGTAAGTTGATGAATGGAGTCTACAATGATGTACTTATGCATACTTATGCTTTCATACAGATACTTAACAGTTTTCAGCTTTCTCACTATGAATTGATAAACAATGAATCCTTTTTACAAGAATGTGTGCGAGCTCAACCGCGTTTAACGATCTCTGCTTGTACAATAACAAAATGCAAAACCATATGAATCAGAAATCCAAGGTACATCGGTGGACCAGCTGTAAACAGGAGATTTAAACTTGCATCATTGATTTCCTTCCTGTAATTATAAATGAACTTTGTTTACACCTCATTAAAGCTGTTATGCACTTTACATAATTCATCCTTAAGAAATCTGGAAGAGTAACGAGCACATGAGCAGTGACCTGCTTTATGTTATATTATTTACAAATTGGATCATGCATGATGGTTATAATTACGACCAAGTGGTGAAGACAGTATCATGGTAATGGTGATGGCAGTGAAGGGCTTAGTGACAGTGATACCAGTGTCATGGTTTTGATGGTTGGGATGGCAGTGATGGTGGTGATAGCGACGGATTTGATCGTGGTAGAGAGGCTGGTAGTGGATGGAGGCAATAGTCGGATGCCAGCGATATTGGGAACGGTGAAGGTTTTGGCAAGGTTGGATTCGAAGTTGATAACAATGATGGTGATGTTGGAGACAATTGCAACGGTATAAATAGGGATGTGGTGGTATTGGTGGTGGCAAAAGTTTGGGGAATGATAATGACAATAATTAGTTGGTGCCGACGGTTATGGTGTTTGCTACAGTCATGGTGGCGATGGGAATGGTGACAATGACAGCAATGGTTGTGCTGATGGTAACAATGCCCAGAATGTTGATAGTGGTATTGGTGGCAGTTGCGCTACAATTGCTAATGGTGATAATTTTAATTACTGGTGATACTAATTATGACAGCAGTGCCGAATGTGTGTTGATATTGATGATACAGATACA